AACCGTTAACGATGAGTTCAGGTAGATCACTAAAAATATTTTGAAAGCGAGAACCGGAATTAAGGTTGAAGGAAACGTCAACGTCAAATATCGATCATCCCACACACACTACTCACAAGTAACTGCGAGTTTAATGCGAAATCAATCAAGCCTGGTAGGTATGTGACCAGTGGCCCGTAACCTGCATGGAAGTCCTGACTTGGTGGGGGCTTTCGATTGGAGTTAATAGGTTGCGCCTATATCTCCCTTCGTTGCTGTCGGACAAATGAACTGACTGACTATCATTGAAGACAACACCTGAACAAACATGAATTGGCAATTTGGTTCAGTCAGGACATGAGCTGGTTGGCGCAGTGGTAACGCACACGCCTTCTATGCGGTGGGTCCGGAGTTCAAATCCCGGACAGGACGGTGGATATGCACTACTGATGAGCTCTAATAAGAGCGAAACTCGAGTCTAGTGCCTCCGACTGTATGGTTGAATCGATGAACTGAGGATTGTGCGTGAAGGTGAAGTCCGAAGGATAGTTAGTCAAATCAATCAAAATTTATAAGCATTAGTCAGCAGAGTCCGGGTCAAGGAACAACTAAAACATCTTTTAGACGGTCTTGAAGTTGCCGGAGAGGTGCACTGTTACTGGAGGAGCACGCAATCACCACATCGTTGACATACTTGCAAGTAATAACGTCGATGGCTTTAGGCAGGTTGTTTATATACAGGGGAAAAGTAGGGACAAAATGAAGCCCTGAAAGACACCAAAGTTAACTTTATTGTATTATAAATGACTTGTGCAGACAACTATGCCTATTACAATGCCCATTACAATGGAATAAAAATGAAACGAAAATTCGTATGCAACAATGATAAAACTAAATGGTGTTCATCTTTGTAGATTTAAGATTAGTTCGTTACGGATCCTCGACGTGTCAGTAAGAATACCGGGTCAGACAAATATTTATGCGGGAGGTCAAGCAGTGAACATTGGATCTAGTTATAGCGTGGGGACGTCAAGCAGGTAAATCGGGATTGAGCAGGTGATTGGGGTCATTGAGTATCTTATGAGCGAAATTCTCACATGAAGTGCCATGCAAATTACACAATTTTGTGATCAGAGTGTTTAAAGGAATAAGAGAAACCGCGACGTAGAGTAATGAAATCCTTTCTAAGTAGTCCAGGGAAAATAGCGGGCGAACAATAAGGTGACAGGAAAAATGCATTGATAAATAAAGGAACATACAGAATGAAGTTTAACCACTGCATGAGGTAAATTACGTCCTAACAGAAAAGTAGTTCAGAAGAAGAAGAACGTTTAACACGTCAGATCATAAGCCACAGTCAACAAGACGAATGAGAAAGCAACGATCAAATGAACCGATGCTATTAGCTTATTCAAGAAAAATAAGGTAAACAGTTACAGTATTTAAAACCAAGCCACAGAATGAGCAACAATCATCGGCATCAAGAGTTGAAAGTGAAAGTTTGTAAGCAAACTGAAGGGGATTGTGAGCACCAGAGAGTAGTCATTCGGTTCAAAAACACTCTGGAAATTTTTCAGTTGGGTTGAGGTACAAGCAATCGGTCGATACTTTGAAGAGCCCTTCTTGGGGATGGATCTTATCGGGGCAGCGATTCGGTATCGTTCCGAAGGGCAAATGGACGAATTCATCAATGGGTGTTTGAATCTCGTCATCGTCGTCCTACTTCTTTATCACTTCATATCCCATATCAACCTTTGACTGATCGTGAATCTTTTCCGTAAGCAACTGATTACATTTTCAGTGTATATCGGATGTCAAATGGAAATACAGCAGTTTTTATCATCTCAGAACATAAAAGCACATCCATTTATGTTTTCCTGAACTTCGTCGCAGAAAGGAGCGTGTCTTCAGTATGCATAAGCGCAATGAGGTGTGCACTCTTTCTAAATCCACCAGGCATAAACTTCGCAGGCCCAACTCTTTGTACACTCGTTCTCAGCTTGACGACAAAGGTAGTTTTGAAACCAGAAAAGCCCTCATACGAATTTCCGGCATCAAATCCTCACCGCGCACCTACCGTTGTGGGTATTGAGGACCTGAACCAAAGCTTCATCAACGACGGAACAGCACTCCCTACCTTTCCTAATAGTAGTGACATGAACATAATCCATCCTGTTGCTCGCGTTGCCCCTGTCGAAATGTATCAAGAGTTGACTCGATTAAATCCTTGCACGTCCAGTGACCTTGATAGAGTTTCACCTGTGTCCTAAAGAAATGTGCTGCCTTCCCTTCCCTTGTACTGTGTGAACTTTTAGACAATTGTATTTTGAGACAAAGTATTCCCAACTGCTAGAGAATAGCCTCAATCACCCAGTACCGAAGAAAAGCTCCTCAAACCTTCGTCCCATTTCCTGCACCTCAGTTACTTCAAGATGTTTGATGCTCTCTTGATTAAAACCCTATCCACACAGTTGCCTGTTGGTGACCCACACCAGTTTGCATACACTCATTCCAGGGGTACCCTGGAGGCCCTTGCTTATCTCTACCACTGTTTTATCCAACCGTAATAAAAAAGCAATGCTGTCCACACATATTTTCTAAACTAAATTGATGCCTTCAACACG